TCCAAATTTTCTTTAACGGAGAGTCTCCAGACTGATCTGCGAGTGAAACCTTGAAAGCTCGCGAGATCAGGATGGTCTCACGAGGCTAACAAACTGATGGGGGACGAATAAACATAGAAACCTTTCTCCTGCTTCATGATACTTCATTTTTATATTTATTTAATTTCTTTTTTTTATCTTATATCTGCCACTCTTAGAGCTAAACATTTAAAGTTCTCCACCTTACCGGTTCTCCCATCTTCCATTTTGTCCCCAAAGAAAATGTTTGCATCTGAAACCAGTGCAGTTGTGAAGAGCGTCGGAGCGGAGGAGAATCTGATTTCTAACACCAACCTAAACCAGAAAGTGGATCTTCTGACTCTGGTCCGAGTCAGAGAGGGGAAATTCTTTGAGTATCCAAAGTACACAGCGGTGGACTGCACCTTGCCTGAGCTCATCGAGGAGGAGGAGGAGTTTTCTCCTGGTAAGTTCCCTGGCAGACACACAAACGCCACCTGAAATATTTCTGTGACCTCTAACCTTTCTGCCAGAGGTTGAAGAAGAGCTTTTAGTGAAGGACTTCAAGACTTCCTTAGAGACCAAGGGGAGCGGTCAACTGGGGGGAGGAGTTCCAACTGTTGGGGAAGCTAATGTCTCTGCAAGCTCTGACACTGTGGATGGTCTGGCTGACTGTGTCAGCATCAAGAAGAAGACGGCCGTCCTTAAAGGTGTGAGGGCCAAGTTCGACGGCAGGTACAGCAGGATGCAGCTGTGGTCTTCACGCCGCTGGTCTGAACTGGTTCTAATGGGTTCCTCTGCTCACGCTGTCTGTCAGGAAACTGAAGAAAGCAAAACTGAAGCAGCTGAGACTGAAGGACAAGGACAGGCTGGCGTTCGTTCATCAGACGGTTTATAACACTGGACCTGTGAAAATGATCAAGAAGTCATCTCAGGACGGATCCATCTCAGCGTCCTACCAGAAGTTCGTGAAGCTGCTGTTCAAGGTGCACAGAGTTCTGACTAGAAAAGTGTTCAGGCCTCTGATTGCCTGCTGTTAGCAGCAAATCTTTAGTTTGTGTTGTTTGATTAAATGAAGGAAACCTTCTGGACTGAACTTGTCCTTCCAGGGCAGCATAAAGGAGGAGACAAGCTTCACCGTCCCAGAAAAATCCACCTTTGCTTATGGGCTGCAGGAGATTGTGGTGGAGGAAGAGAAAATGGGTAAGATCTATTTCTTCCCACCTTTGTTGTTTGCATTCTTGCAGTTTCATTATCATTTCTTCTTGTGTTGTTTAGAAATTCCTTTGGAACCCTGGACTAACAAGAAGAACTATGGTGAGTTTTACTCTTTAAAGTTGTAGAGAAAAGCCTGTTCCAACCGTTGCTTTTCTGAATTCTCCCGATTGGTGCTCGACTTTATATGAGTTAATAAAGTGAATGTGATTTGTTGTTTATTAAGGTGGCAGAAGGTTTGCAAGCATGTTTGGTTGTGGCGGGTTTGTT